ATTTATTCACACCCCAAAACTTGGGGTGTAAAATGCCAGGGCCTTCTCAGCACGGGCCTTCTCAGCACGGGCCTTCTCAGCACAGGCCTTCTCAGCACGGGCCTTCTCAGCACGAAGGCCCTGGGGGACGAGGTTGGAGGGCTACGAAATTTTTGTATATGACATAAGACTCTCCCACCCCACCCTAAAGGCTGATTTCCATTGTTGCGTTTTTCATACGTACGTATACGCACGTAAAACTTTGAATCCGTTTAAATGTTACTTATCAAATAACCAAATAAATAAAGCAACATAATTTAGTGTTCCGCAAGTTTTAGTATGTATTTGTTAACTAATTTGTAAAATATTTAAAAAATGGAACGATTCAAAGTTTTACGTGCGCGTACGTGCGTACGAAAAACGCAACAGTCCAAATCAGCCTGAAGGTATAAATAATGAACGGTCCCTAAACAAAATATTACAGTTTCAGTGCATATAGGCATAGTTAACCAATAAGGCAGTGTTTATATCATGATCGAATTTAAACTGCGTTTTAGAGAACTTGCTTCAATGGCGTAAAAGTGGGCCTTTAAGCGCAAAACTCGAGCTCAATGATGCTGCTAATCCGCCCCTAGTGATGTGATTATAGCCGGACTGAAGGACAAAGTGTTTTACAGCTCGAACGGGCAAACCGAGGCCGCTTTTGCATATTTTTGATATCTTTAAACTAACATTTTCTCGTTATAAACTTATGACATATATGTCTATAATTTACCCGCAGGTGATTGGTTTTGGCTTAGTTTGAAAACATTAAAACGCGGCCTCGGTTTGCCTATTCGAGCTGTAAATAATCACTTTATTTATTTTTTCTAATTTCTTATTGCGTAATTAACCCTAAAACAAGAAGAATTAATATTTGTTGTTTTACTTGCCCAATGTACTTGACAATGAAAACCCAAAATTAAATCTATTAAGCAAGGTCATACTTCGTAAAACTTCAACTTTTCTTTTCACAATATCTTTAGATAATTGCTTCAACGACAACGCAAGGATTAGACCCTCCTTCTGATGGGCAGACAACTTCTCTAAGACGGCTTGGACCAGGCGCACAAAATCCCATTTATTTGTATCGTGCTTACTAATAAGGAAGATCTCGTCATTAGAAATGCCAAGATCTTTTACGTTTTCATAACAATTAGCTTGGATTTTGCGTAACATCTCTTCGATATTAGGTTTTCTCTTACGTTTCTCGTTATCTTCATCTACGTCAATTTTTGTCCGTATTAAAAAGAACGATTTTCCCATAGATTTGATTTTCAGCGCAAGCTCGAGATCAAACTGTGTAAACCTCGTAGCGGTCAAGATCAAAAAGGTGTCGTAACTCTTTAAGTCAAATTTTTTACAGTACACTTGGAGATTTGGATAGGTCCGCGTGCCAATTCCTGGCATATCCGTTAGTGTGATATTTGGAATGTCACTGCGGTAAGCATAGCAAGTAGGTTCAGATGTTCTCTCAACAACGTCTATTTTTGCAGCGCCATCATCTTCATCATCAATCCTGTATAGAATAAAATTGTCTGATATTCAAATGGACCTTTTCAGTAATTACGCCACGACTAACACTGTTTTCAACTTAAGACCACCTTAAATGGAATGGATTTTAAGTTTGTTTCTCACGACCGGCTATGGTCGGCGCAGCAGAACATCCTTCTTCAACACAATCATAAAATGAATTTTGGATTTTAACTAGCCTGCAAACAGGCCCTGGGTTGCGGGCGACGCGAAGAATAGAGGGCCTGCACGGACCTATAGGTTTTCTTGGTAGTGGCGTTCGTATAGAAACGCAGGCTTCTGATTGGCTTACACTCGTTGACAAAATTACTAAAAATAGCTAATGTCAACAACAGCATTTTGAAGAATTTGAACTTTATTCATTTTAATATTATATATTATA